GTGTTTGTGATAAAAACCATGTTACGCGCGAAGCCAAGTGATTTAGCTGCCCAGCACTGATCTCCAGAGCATCTTTCCAATCCAACTTTTCATATATCACCTCGACGTAGAAATTGTAAAGCTTGGACGATATGGAATTATCTAACTTCATTTTCCTTTCGATCAGTATGCGAATCGGAGCGGGAAAAAGTGTTGTTTCTGTTCAGCAGTCTACGTCCGCTTTCTCAATAAATTTTATATAGTTCCCATCAAGCCCTCTATCTACTAAAGCTCATGGCACAGCATTCCGCTCTACACTATCGAGTGCTTTTTCGCAATCGACGATGAGGAGACAGAGAGGGGAGTGGACCTCCTTGCACATTCCATTAGCTGATTTAGAGCGAAAATGTGACGGATTCGTCGTTCAGTAATTACCCCGAAATCCAATCTCCCTCAGTTTCTGTTCGTCGCGAAGTCTTGTTATTCAGCTGGTGATAATCCTCCCCAATAATGACCGTATATGTGGACATGACGACTGCTGTGGGTTCGAACTCAGCACAGAATTCTTGCGTTGGCTATAGTGGTAGCGTAGACGATTTTGACGATTCATTAAAATTTCACCTAAGGAGGAATATGCCGAACTGTAATAAAGTGAAACTGACAAATGTGGTTTGTAAAGATCACTGCCTGCCGACGATAAACTCGATTTCGTCAACGTTCCTCCATTCCTCTCTAGTGCTGAATAAAATAAGTTACAATGTGTCTGATCCTTCGCCGGGTTTTACACATACCGAGGAAGTCGTATGATGTTTTATAAATTTTCTGGAGATGTTCAGTGAATTTGTCCCTCAACAGCGACCACAAATGGAAGTGCACGAATCAGGGCCATTCTGCGGCGGACCCGAACCTGAGATGCTGAGCAACTCCTTGCTCTCCCGTTGCCGACCTGCTTTCGTAGGCCGCGCCGAAAAGGCAAGCAAAGTATTCAGAATGTATATATATATATATATATATATATATATATGTACGTACTTATGTATGTTATGCTACCCAATTTAACTTACAGCAAATTCAGCATAAATTGTCGATAACGAAGCCGTTACATCAAAATGGCGTAACTGGCGGCGCGTCAGACGGCCCAATTTCTTGTACTCTAGTTCTTCAGCTACATCGCTAAAAATGGTACAGTTGAGTATCAGTGTGATCTAAGACGGCTAGTCACTGTGCGAGATTAGCTGGTTTTCAGAAACAAGCAAAATGTATGTCGTTTAAAAAAAATTCCATCCACTATCCCAATCCAAAAGAAAAACTGAGACTTAGCGCCATACTGCATCAAAATTCACCGAATAATTTAGGCTTCAAATAAATAGCAGTGAAAGGTGCGCATGAAAACTGCTGTAAACGTTCCAGGCCCGTTGACTCTAATACAAAATTGTTGGTTATTTGAGGATCATGCGTGTAGATAAGCAAATAATTTAGGCAATAT